CGGACCAGATCGGACCAGACCGAACCGGACCGGACCAAACCGAATCGGACCAGACCGAACCGGACCGAACCGAACCGGACCGGATCGAACCGAACCGGACCAGACCGAACCGGACCAGACCGAACCGGACCGGATCGAACCGAATCGGACCAGACCGAACCGGACCAGACCGAACCGGACCAGACCGAACCGGACCGAACCGAACCGGACCGGACCGAACCGAATCGGACCAGACCGAACCGGACCGAACCGAACCGGACCAGACCGAACCGGACCAGACCGAACCGGACCGGACCAAACCAGACCGAACCGGACCGGACCGAACCGAACTGGACCGGACCTTGTGAACTCGGAGGAACTCTTCAGAACCATGAAACACTAAAAATGATCAGGAGTAAAGTAAAAGTTATAAATCAAATTCCAGCAGATCTTTGGATCTTTGTTCCATCCGGTACCAACCCGACTCCACATGGAGGATTCTGTCCGGTTCTGACTCACCTGGATGATCCAGACCCGACCCGGTTCACCCTCCCTTCCCATCCAGGACAGGATTCTGGATTAGTTGGTTGGATTTGATCACCTGTTCATGTCTCAGTCCGACCCGTTTGGACCGGAACCGTTGGGTCCCACTCAGATCATCCCTTCCTCAGGTGACTCGGGTCTCACCTCCGGGTCGGACTCGTCTCTCTGCAGGTATCCACGGCGACGGCGAGGAGGAGGCGGGACCTCCATTAAACATGAAGATCTAAAAATACAGGAGGCCTCACCTCCTCTCTCCTCTCTCCTCACCTCCTCTCTCCTCTCTCCTCACCTCCTCTCTCCTCACCTCCTCTCTCCTCACCTCCTCTCTCCTCTCTCCTCACCTCCTCTCTCCTCACCTCCTCTCTCCTCACCTCCTCTCTCCTCACCTCCTCTCCTCACCTCCTCTCCTCACCTCCTCTCTCCTCACCTCCTCTCTCCTCTCTCCTCACCTCCTCTCTCCTCTCTCCTCACCTCCTCTCTCCTCACCTCCTCTCTCCTCACCTCCTCTCCTCACCTCTCTCCTCACCTCCTCTCTCCTCACCTCCTCTCTCCTCACCTCCTCTCTCCTCACCTCCTCTCCTCACCTCCTCTCTCCTCACCTCCTCTCTCCTCACCTCCTCACCTCCTCTCCTCACCTCCTCTCCTCACCTCCTCTCTCCTCACCTCCTCTCCTCACCTCCTCTCCTCACCTCCTCTCTCCTCCTCTCCTCACCTCCTCTCTCCTCACCTCCTCTCTCCTCTCCTCCTCTATCCTCACCTCCTCTCCTCTCCTCCTCTATCCTCAACTCCTCTCCTCTCTCCTCACCTCCTCTCCTCACCTCCTCTCTCCTCACCTCCTCTCCTCACCTCCTCTCCTCACCTCCTCTCTCCTCACCTCCTCTCCTCTCCTCTCCTCTCCTTCTCTATCCTCAACTCCTCTCCTCTCTCCTCTCTCCTCACCTCCTCTCTCCTCTCCTCCTCTATCCTCAACTCCTCTCCTCTCTCCTCACCTCCTCCTCACCTCCTCTATCCTCACCTCCTCTCCTCACCTCCTCTATCCTCACCTCCTCTCCTCTCGTCTCCTCTCCTCTCCTCCTCTATCCTCACCTCCTCTCCTCTCTCCTCTCTCCTCACCTCCTCTCCTCACCTCCTCTCTCCTCACCTCCTCTCTCCTCAACTCCTCTCCTCTCTCCTCACCTCCTCTATCCTCACCTCCTCTCCTCACCTCCTCTCTCCTCTCTCCTCACCTCCTCTCTCCTCTCTCTCTCTCTCCTCACCTCCTCTCTCCTCTCCTCCTCTCTCCTCTCCTCCTCTCTCCTCAACTCCTCTCCTCTCTCCTCACCTCCTCTATCCTCACCTCCTCTCCTCACCTCCTCTATCCTCACCTCCTCCTCACCTCCTCTCCTCTCCTCTCCTCTCCTCCTCCTCCTCTCCTCTCTCTCCTCTCCTCTCCTCTCCTCTCCTCTCCTCTCCTCTCCTCTCCTCTCCTCTCCTCTCCTCTTCTCTCCTCTCCTCTTCCTCAGTGATGAATGGTTACAGCAGAGCAGGTGACGATAAGCTGAGTGGTTCTGGTCGTATCCGGTCCTTCATCCGGTCCAGTGGTTCCTGTTGGACATCAGAGGAAAAACAGAACCACAGAAGAAGAGTTGAAATCAGGAAGGATCTGACGGACCGCACGGGCCTGGTTCTGGTAGAACCAGACGTGTTCAGAGGTGGTTCTGTTGGACCAGAACTTCACCAAGAAAACAGCAGGACGATCTCATTGGGCCGACCCAGACCAGAACCAAACAGAACCATCAGAGCAGTCGGTCTGTTCATCCATCCTTGATAACATTTTTATTCCAAAATAATTGGAAAGACAGAATCCGGTCCAGAAGCGACAGAACCCGGTCCAGAAGCGACAGAACCTGGACCGAGCCGGACCGGTCCAGGTACTGCTGATGACCCAAAGATCAGTAAAGGTTCAGGAGGGACAGGATTCTGGACCCGACTGGTGGATTTAAAGTGATCAGAACCAGGAAGTGTGTGTTCTGGTTGACTGACTGGACCGGTTCTGGTCTCCTGATCCTCCTTCAGTTTTCCGGTTTTCCTTTTTTTTCTTCCTGTTTTGTTTCTCTTGTTCTTCCTCATCCAAACTTTTCGTCCTCGTCCTGCTGCTCTTCCTCCTCCTCCTCCTCCTCCTGCTGCTCCTGGAGGTGAGCTGCATGATTGGGCGCCAGGTTGGAGGGAGGGCTTCGGGAATCACATGGTTTACGTTTGCAGCTCTGTCAGACGCCATTTTGGAGGAAAGTTTGGGATTTGTGAGACCTGGAAGGCTGCAGGGAGAGGAGCAGGAGGAGTGGGAAGGAGCAAACAGGAGGACTCGTCCACTCGGGGAGTGGGACACGCATTCAGCTCTCAGGCTGCGGCTTGCAGGGCTCTGAGGTCTGCGGGCCGGTGCGGGATCGGGCGGTGGGACAGAGTGAGGACTGCCTCCTCCGGGCTGGAAGTTTGTCCCGGGTTTTGTGGAAGGAGGTGCGGAGCTCCGGAGCGGCTCGGTCTCCTCCTCTGCAGCCGGAGCAGCAGCTGCAGCGGCGGGCAGCTCCTCCTGCCTGGCTCCCTGCCCCTCAAACTGGGTGTGTTTAACGCGGACTTTGGCGCAGAGCAGATCCCGGATCCCAGCTGCTGGAAAACAGATTCCCAGTTTCCTTCCAGCGCCGAGCAGCGGCCAGCCTGCGCGCGGCCAGCCGGCCGGAGGAGCCGCTGAGGCGGGGAAGAGCAGCTGGGAGAGCCGGGTCCTCCCCGGAGCTCCTCTCCCCGGAGCTCCCCTCCCCCCCCCCGGACTCTAAGTTTTCTGCGTGGTTCTGTCCCGGTTCAGTATCGGTTCGGTTCAGGACCGGTTCGGTTCTGGTGTCTGTTGGACGGGTCAGGAAGTTTGCTCGCTGTGGATTTTTATTGGCTTCTCTTGGATTTTACGGGGAAACAACTGGAAACCTGTTTTCTGTGCGGGACGTGTGTGTGTGGTTCTGAGCTCCGACCGGAACCGAGCCGAGTCAGAACATGCCCGTTAGAAAGAAGGTAAGCCGCTTTCACTTCTTCAGACTAACACTGAAAGCTAACGGCTAAAAGGAGCTGAAGTTGGTGTCACAGTGACAGCTGGTATAAAGGGCTGTTCCGCAGGTTTTAAGGACCCTGAACTGCTGAGGTCTACACTTTAAAACATTAAATTCATCTCTAGTGCTTAAATATGGAAACTGCTTCATAGAGTTTATGAAGCCTTTTGTTGATTCTTTAAATAATTCTTAATGTGAAAATTCTTCTCATTAAGAAATGTACGAAGGGCCAAACAGCACAAATAAAACCATTAATTAAATGTACCATAAAATAATCAAATGCTTAATTTGTTATTTCATCTGTAAAAATCACCCATCAAAATTGTAGGGTGGAGCTTTTACAGATTTGTTGAACTTATGGGAACGCTCACAAATATCTTCCATTTGCAACGACTGCCATAATTTTCTAACTAGTGGAGTTGATTTTTGTCCCTTCAGGGCCTCCATAGATGTAGTTTTTTCCCCAGTAAATATAAAACGCACCTTCCTGCTGTCTTGGTGAGATTTCTGTGAGGCATTGGAGGGAACTCATCTTTTTGGGAAGGGGTTCCAGTCGAGTTGGCGAGTAGATGTGAAGTGGTGGTGTGAAATGTCCGAGAGGTTCTGTGTTTTGAATGCATCCTAGGTGGCGCCAGATCAGCTGATTAAAGAAGCTTTTTGGGGTTTTTTTCTGTGATTGAATCTCATCAATAACAACAATTAATGACTTCTGTTAAACATCAGAATTAGTCGAATCGCTGAGATACTTTGATTTGGACTTTTTAATATTTTAACTACTTAAGGACAAATCTATTTAAAAATGTTTACTTTTAGTTTATTATAATCAAAGTTTTTCCACCAGGATCCAAAAGTTAAACCTTTGGGTAAAACTGAAGTTTTCTGCTAATAAAAACAAAAAGGAAAAAACTGTGTGAAATAAAATCAGATTCACTTTCAACTGAAATCAGTTTCAAACTCAAGTGGTTCCAGTTTGACTCCAGGCTCTTAAATAACTCTTTATATTCTGTGATACAATAATGTTTTCTGCTTCTATAATCTCCATAACTCTCTCTGTATATAATCTGTCACGGAACTGGATCCGGTTCTGATCTGGTTCTGATCCGGTTCTGATACACATTAATCCAGTTCTTCAGCTCCGTCCAGCCTAATCATAATTAAAAAACTTTTACTACCAGAATTAAAATAACTTTTCTGATAACTGCTTTCTGAATCTCTCTGTAGTCTGGAATAATTTACTCCAGATCGGATCAGCCTCAGTTTTCCAGATTGAGAACCAGAGCCTGTAAAAACGGTGGACTCGCCCTTTACAGGTGCTTCAGTCAGAGGCCAACTTCAGCGCGCTGTGCGCTAACCTGCTGAGGAGGAAAAACTCCAACTGCAGCTGGACAGAAACATAAAACATAAGACATGCAGCGCGACCCGAACCCGGCTGCAACCTGGGATAAAGCTCCTAAACACGGCTCGGTTCGGCCCAGCCGAGCCCAGCCGAACCGCGTCAGGTGAAGTTAAAACCCAGCTAGCCTCTTAGCTTCAGCTGCTAACCAACTTCTAAATGGGGCACCTGGTGGGAACTAAAAATAAACCGGAATATCAATAAAATATTTACCAAGGCCTCATAAAGGCCCTTTAACTTCAGCTGTGTTTGCCCCAAAAATGTTAAAAATATTCTCTCTCACTATGAAGTAGAATGGATCCTGGTGGTTTCAGAGTATTGAGGAAAAAAATCCCGGAATGTGTGAAAATGCTGGAGCTCCTGCAGGCAGTGACGCTGCAGGCTGCAGATCCTCACTGCAGACAAGCAGCAGGAAACTGTTTCATCACTTATTGAGCAGAAAGTTCATTAAAAACCACAAAGCAAAGATAGTTTAGCCTCAAAAGTGCTGCAAATATTCAGGTAATTATGGGATGTTGGAGGGGAGAGCAGCTTTTAGACCGGAAGTGTCACAAATTTATCAACACAGAATCATAAAAGTTACTGAAACTGAACTTTGTTAGAAAATCCTGGCTGTGAGAAAAATGAATTGAATCTATAATATTGAATGATTATAGATTGGACCTGTTTTTGGTCCAGTCTGGACTCCTGGTTCCGCTCCAGATCATCCTGAGCCCGGCCTGGTTCTGTTCAACCAGCTTCCAGAACCGGATCGGGTCGGAGATTTTACCTGGACTGGATAAAAGAGTAAAGAGCAGAACCCTGAGGAGACGTTCCCACCTGGACGGATCAGCGGTTCTGATCCGGAACATTTCTGGGAATCGTTTGATGGATTTGCGCTGCAGACGCTGGATCCCAGCGATCCGGTTCTTCAGTCCGGCTCGTCGGGGGATCGAGACTCGTTTTGTTGATCTGAGGCCATTTTCCAGTAATAATGACAATAATATCAGATCAATAAACTTCAAACATTTAACTCTGGAAAAACATTTAACATATCAAAAATAAAAAACAAATAATCTATCAACAAATGATCCTCAAAAAGGTTTAGTTCAGATCAGAACAGAAGTTTTATCATCCAAACAGAAACTATTGATTTAGTTTATCATGTGATTATTGATTGATTGCAACAGGACCAATCATCTGCTGAAGCATTATGCTTTAAACTGCTACCGGTTCTGATCCGGTTCTGATCTGGTTCTGATCTGGTTCTGATCCGGTTCCAGTTCTGATCTGGTTCCAGTCCTGTTCTGATCCGGTTGTGATCTGGTTCTGATCCGGTTCCAGTCCAGTTCTGATCTGGTTCCAGTCCAGTTCTGATCCGGTTCTGATCCAGTTCTGATCTGGTTCTGATCCGGTTCCAGTCCAGTTCAGATCTGGTTCCAGTCCAGTTCTGATCCGGTTCTGATCCGGTTCTGATCTGGTTCTGTTCCAGTTCTGATCCGGTTCTGATCCAGTTCTGATCCGGTTCCAGTCCAGTTCTGATCCGGTTCTGATCCAGTTCAGAATCTCGGTCAGTGTCCTGATGCTGCAGAGGAGCGGCTGGCGTCTGCAGCATCAGGCTGCAGCATCATCCTGAGATGTGATGAAGAGTTTAACTGTCCTTCCTCTTCCTCTGCCCCGGTTCTGCCCCGGTTCTGACCCGAACCCGCCCCCCAGACGCCCAGCGGGCCCTGCTGCTCCTGGAGGAGTACCGGAACAAGCTGAACCACACGGAGGACCGGCAGCTGCGTCTCTCCATCCAGAGAGTCATCGACATCTTCCAGAGCAGCCTGTTCCAGGCTCTCATAGGTAAACCTGGTTCTGATCCGTTCTGATCCGTTCTGACCCGGTCCGGCTGCTGCTGGATCGGCCCGGAGTTTGCAGAACCGGGTCTGCTCCTGATTGTTCTGCCTGTAGAGAGCTGATCCCACAGCGGACGGGACGAAGGTTCTTCTGGGTTCTGTTTGGACCAGAAACAGAACCTGGAGTTTTTCACCGTCCCAGTCCGGACTGGGACAGGATGAATGACAGGATGAATCTTCAGAACCTGAACTGGGCCTCGGGTTGTAAATTAAAGGTCCGGTCCGGTGCCAGGTTCTGCCTTGGCCCGTCTGAGTCGGACCTTTTACTCTGTTGTTCTTCCGATCGGGTCGGTTTTGTCAGTCAGAACACGTACCGGGCCGGGCTGTGGGCTCTGTCCCGATTCTGATCCGTCGGCCGGGTTGAAAGCCTGGGATGTGACCCGCATGCCGACCGGAACCGAGCAGCTGACAGAACCTCATTCAGAACTCTGGACCCGTCCTGTGTTTTTAAATAAACCCGGTTGGACAGAAACTCTGAACCGGACCGGAACCACAGCGGGTTCCTGGAGTCTGGTCATCAACAGAACCGTCGTATCCTTTTGGTGTACTGATCCGGACCCAGCCAGGAGCAGACCGGCCCGTTTGGACCTCTGCCCGCCGGTCCTGCAGAACTAAGACGAGAGGAAACAGTTTCCCCCCATGTGACCAGAACTCGGTTCCTCTGACCCGGTTCAGGCCGTTACTGGGTCAAAGTAACATAAAACTTCAGCTGAGGTTCTGTTCCGGTTCTACTGAAGTTCTGTTCCGGTTCTGCTCAAGTTCTGTTGGGCTGCAGATCTCTGAGCGAAGAGTCCAGCAGCTCCAGTTTGGACAGTTTAACTGTTTCCTGACCTGCTGGACCTCTGGTTCTGATCCGGATGGGTTGCATCTCCAGCTGGTTCTGCTAAGAGAGAGGAAGGTTCTGGAGCTTCCATCATCCATCCATCATCCATCCATCATCCATCCATCATCCATCCATCATCCATCCATCCATCATCCATCCATCATCCATCCATCATCCATCCATCATCCATCCATCCATCCATCCATCATCCATCCATCATCCATCCATCATCCATCCATCATCCATCCATCCATCCATCATCCATCCATCCATTATCCATCCATCATCCATCCATCCATCCATCATCCATCCATCATCCATCCATCATCCATCCATCCATCATCCATCCATCCATCCATCCATCCATCCATCATCCATCCATCATCCATCCATCATCCATCCTTCATCCATCCATCATCCATGCATCATCCATCCATCCATCCATCCATCCATCCATCCATCATCCATCCATCATCCATCCATCATCCATCCATCCATCCATCATCCATCCATCATCCATCCATCATCCATCCTTCATCCATCCATCATCCATCCTTCATCCATCCATCATCCATCCATCATCCATCCTTCATCCATCCATCATCCATCCATCATCCATCCATCATCCATCCTTCATCCATCCATCATCCATCCTTCATCCATCCATCATCCATCCTTCATCCATCCATCATCCATCCATCATCCATCCATCATCCATCCTTCATCCATCCATCATCCATCCTTCATCCATCCATCATCCATCCATCATCCATCCTTCATCCATCCATCCATCATCCATCCATCATCCATCCATCATCCATCCTTCATCCATCCATCCATCATCCATCATCCATCCATCATCCATCCATCATCCATCCATCCATCATCCATCCATCCATCCATCATCCATCCATCCATCCATCCATCCATCCATCATCCATCCATCATCCATCCATCCATCCATCCATCATCCATCCATCATCCATCCATCCATCCATCATCCATCCATCCATCCATCCATCATCCATCCATCATCCATCCATCCATCCATCATCCATCCATCATCCATCCATCATCCATCCATCCATCATCCATCCATCATCCATCCATCATCCATCCATCCATCATCCATCCATCCATCCATCATCCATCCATCCATCGATCCATCCATCCATCATCCATCCATCATCCATCATCCATCCATCCATCCATCCATCCATCATCCATCCATCATCCATCCATCCATCATCCATCCATCATCCATCCATCATCCATCCATCCATCCATCATCCATCCATCCATCCATCCATCATCCATCCATCATCCATCCATCCATCCATCCATCCATCATCCATCCATCATCCATCCATCCATCCATCATCCATCCATCATCCATCCTCCATCCATCCATCCATCCATCCATCATCCATCCATCATCCATCCCATCCATCATCCATCCATCATCCATCCTTCATCCATCCATCCATCCATCATCCATCCATCATCCATCCATCATCCATCCATCCATCCATCCATCCATCCATCCATCATCCATCCATCATCCATCCATCCATCCATCATCCATCCATCATCCATCCATCATCCATCCTTCATCCATCATCCATCCATCCATCATCATCCATCCATCATCCATCCATCCATCATCCATCCATCATCCATCCATCATCCATCCATCCATCCATCATCCATCCATCCATCCATCATCCATCCATCCATCATCCATCCATCCATCATCCATCCATCATCCATCCATCCATCCATCATCCATCCATCCATCCATCATCCATCCATCATCCATCCATCTATCCATCCATCCATCCATCCATCCATCATCCATCATCCATCCATCATCCATCATCCATCCATTGTCCATCCATCATCCATCCATCCATCCATCCATCCATCATCCATCCATCATCCATCCATCCATCCATCCATCATCCATCCATCCATCCATCATCCATCCATCATCCATCATCCATCCATTGTCCATCCATCATCCATCCATCCATCCATCCATCCATCCATCATCCATCCATCATCCATCCATCCATCCATCCATCATCCATCCATCCATCCATCCATCCATCATCCATCCATCCATCCATCATCCATCCATCAATCATCCATCCATCATCCATCCATCCATCCATCATCCATCCATCCATCCATCCATCCATCATCCATCCATCCATCCATCCATCCATCCATCCATCATCCATCCATCATCCATCCATCATCCATCCATCATCCATCCATCCATCATCCATCCATCATCCATCCACCCATCCATCATCCATCCATCATCCATCCATCATCCATCCATCATCCATCCATCCATCATCCATCCATCATCCATCCACCCATCCATCATCCATCCATCATCCATCCATCCATCATCCATCCACCCATCCATCATCCATCCATCATCCATCCACCCATCCATCATCCATCCATCCATCAGCCATCCATCATCCATCCATCATCCATCCATCCACCCATCCATCATCCATCCACCCATCCATCATCCATCCATCATCCATCCATCATCCATTCATTCTCTCTCTCTCTAAAATGTCAGAAATCCTGGAAGATTGATCCTGAAACTTCCAGGTTTTCTGTCTTTGCCTCTTTACCTCCGTCTGGTTCTGATGGGATCTTTGGTTCTGATGGGATCTTTGGTTCTGATGGGATCTTTGGTTCTGATGGGATCTTTGGTTCTGATGGGATCTTTGGTTCTGCGTCACATAGATCCAGACTTCCTGTGTTTCTGCGTAGAAATTGCAACTAGAATGTCTCTGTTTGGACTCCAGCTCTGGGATAGAACCGGTCCAGAAGAGACGGTTGATACCAGAACCAGAACCAGGAGTGGAGTAGTTTAGCGCGTTCCCAGATTTCTGCCTTACATCTGGTGCTGATCCGTTTGCGTCGGACCCAACCGGGCCGATCTGCGGCGGTTCTGAGCGTAATGGGCTCAGTTGTCTGAACTCATCAGGTCCGTTTGTCAGATTGAACTCTGGAGCTTCAATCCGCTGAACTTTAATCAAATTAATTTGCTAATTGATTAATGGACGGGATGAAGAACCCGATCCTGACCCGTCTGGACGGCGCCGCCGTCTTCCTCTGAGGTTACGGCGGTGACGGGTCGGGATGATTGGACCTGCTCACCTGGTTTTTAAGGCAGAACCTTCTGTTTGGACCTGGTTCTGTTCTGGTTCTGTTGGTCACTCAGGAAGTCCTCCAGGTAGAGACCGAGCCGCTCCAGGACCGGATTCCTCCAGCGGACCCTGAACCAGCAGAACCACATCACCAGCAAAAAGGAGATCTGTAATCTGGGTGGTTCTGCTGGTTTCACACCAGAACCAACCAGAACCACCCAGACTGGACCACTCAGCCCATATCTGGTTGGTTCCTTCAGGAACCTCCTGGTTCTGCCCGACCCGTCTTCCAGGCCTGTTTATTGAAAATTAATTTTCTACCTCAGTGTCCAATCCCCCCTCTGCCTCCGGCGGGCCGAGCCGGGCCGGGCCGGGCCGGGCCCGGTGTAATCCCTCTGTGGACATGATGATTACCTCCAGCCTGTAATCCCCCAGCAGCGGCTCCGCTGGCCCGGTTCCTGCTAAACAGATGGCTCCGAACACAAACACTCATGTTTCTCAACATTCCCACAGTTTGGACCAGAACCGCTGCAGGTGGTGGCGGTTCTACTGGCTGTCAGGACTCTGATGTCTCATTAGGTCCAGGTTCTGACCCGTCAGCAGGTTCTGACCCGTCAGCGGTTGGTTCATTTCTTCTCTGGTTTCCCAACATTCAGTCGGTTTCACTTCCTGATCCGAGTCTCAGTTCCCCCTCGACCCGGTTCCGCTTCAGGTTCGGTTCCTCATTGTTCAGTGACCCGGACCTGAACAGTGACCCGGTTCTTCTTCTGGTCCGGTTCCGCTGAAGGATCCGGGTCTACCTTCCATGTTCTGCTCAGCGTGCAGCACCTTCATCGTACGGGCTGTTACTGTCGGGTCTCTGAAGGTGGCGCTGCAGAGAACGGCAGAACCTGCATGACCCGGGTCGGGCAGAACCTGCATGACCCGGGTCGGGCAGAACCTCCT